AAATGTGTCTAATCCTCTGCATTTTAGCATCGTGTCATCCCACCACCTCTCTGTGATGCCATTCTCGCCTTCTGGGTCCCGCGCGAACAATTATCTTGTAATCTGCACAAACATACATTCTGTCATTGCAGAGATGAGACATGGGGGGGCAGGGGGGGGGGCACCCAAGGGACCGGGTGAAAAAAACGCTCAGCGCTCCCCCTGTGGATTAAAAATCCAACTGGGTTGCTTTCGTGGTAACTCTTTGCCCTCGTTTTGCATTTGTGCTTGAGAAAAATCTTCAAATCAAGAAAATGTGCAATTTGGATGATGGAACATGTTCGGGATTGTTTCTTCTCGTACAAAGGAAATGACTTTGTTTGCATTTTTCCTGTCCCTTTGCTTTGCATTTTGAGTTACTAGAAATGTATTTTTTTAATTGGGGGTGGCAAAAAAAAAAGAAGAATATAACATGATGTTTTGCAAAAATGGCGAATTAGTGAACATATTCGGCCCTACTTAAAGTCGAATGCGGTCGTTTGCCCGTGTCAAGTTCATCAGAATCCGAAGCCGATTTATCGGCCAAGGATGCAAAAAAACACGCAAGGAATCGACTTGCCCGTTCGAACTCGTTCAGGGGAACAGAGACAAGATGGCAACAACCAACATGCGGGAGGCAGAACGAGAAGCCTGCTTTTGACTTGATTATTGTCGGGGACGAAATGGCTTGCGCTTGTCAATTGTTTCCAACGTCACATTCTCTCATCGAAAAATTGAATGCAAATACACCAACTAGATTATTAAATGCAACCGATTCGATTTCATATGAACATTTCATAAATAAGCTCTATTAATGCATGAGTGTTCTTGATTTTTTTTATTCATTCCCATGAGAGATATGTCATGCTAAAACAGCATTTTTTTCCTTAAGAGAAAGTTTTAATCATCTTAGTTTGCAGGCTTTTCTCGTGAATTAATTTTGAAAAGGACACGTTGTTCTGTTTTTCATGTATCTGAGCAAAATATATTTCTCCTGTTGATGTTTTTCCAACTCAAGACTCAAATTGCATCGAAAAAAACCCAAAAACAATTGGTCTCTTCCCTCCACGGCAGGCCCAAATCCTTCAAGGGCATTTGACGTGAAAATCCGGGCCCTGAAATGAGGTGGACGTCAAAGTCAAAAAATGGTGGGCGCGGTATAGCTTCGCGATTGCGGTGGAAAAAAAAAAAAAACAAGAAACCCAAAACAAACCAACAAAAAGAGGGCGTGTTGAATTCACTCGCTTTTATTTCATCAAGTGGTTGCGCGAAATAAAATCCTAAGAGATGCATTTCATGAAAAAAGAATCTGGAAATGCAGCCGCTCGTGATTTGGTCAATTCAACGCGCCGTTTTTGCAGTGTCAAGAGGATGCCAAGTGGCTTTGCCCTCTTGTCCCCCGGCCCAAAAAGACTCGGACACTCATCCATCCTTTTGGTTTTATTGAAAGGTCAACCAGGTCCTCCGGGTGATTCATAATAAATATCTCATCGACAACGTAAAAAAATAAAGACACGCAATCTGTGGGCGTAACAAATCGAGCAGGAACGTCAGCACTGGAGCGACATGCACCGAAGTCACGAGAAAAGCATCCGAATGCCATGTTTGGACAATTGAGCCACTCGCGAAGAGTTGGGCTCCAAAACTATCAAGCCAGTGTTTGCTACATTTTGGGGGGGGGAAAGGAACACACACACACACCCCAAAAAAAAGGCAATTTGAAAGATGGAAGTGACTTTTTTTTTTTTTGAAGTCCTTGGTACAAGGCACAAAGAGCCATCTTCATTTTCACAAAATCAAGACAACCAAAATGTTCATGCACAGCGACATTTGTTGTGGTTTTTGTTTCGTTTTACCTTGGACTTTGAACGCATCGCTCTGAAGTCACAGCACGAGTCCTTGGTACAAGGAGGGAAATAACGCACACATTTTCTTCGACGGCCCCAACAAGAAAACAGACAGCAACATGCACCAATCCACGCTCGCCGCAAGTCCTCGGCAATGAGGTGGAAATCATTTCATGGCGTCCTTGGCCTCCCCCGTCAGTCTCGTCAGGCCGGAGGAGGTGATGGGGATGTGGGGGGGCGGCGGCGGCGGAGGAGGAGCGGCGGCGGGAGCGGGAGCGGCGACGGCACCGGGGGGCGGCACCTGGCAGATGGCGCAGGGACAGGGCAAGCCGGCCCAGTGCTGGAACCCGGAGCCCAGCTGCGCCGGCGGCGAGCCCTTCAGCATGGCGTGCGGGGCCCGGACGGAGGCCAGCGCCGGCAGGGCCGAGGACGCGGTGGAGGTGGCCGACGACGCCAGGAGCGGGTGCAC